GTAACTTTAAAAAAAAATAATTCCGAAATTGAAATTTTAATTAATATTTCGTTTAACAATAATTTTTGTGACATTTTTGTAAATTAAAAAAATTTAAATATAAAAGATGCATTTTTCCTGGGGTTCAGGGCTATTCTACGAATTCGTAAATATGCCCATTGTTATTTTTTCGTCGAGCTACCCCAGTGTAATAAAAAATAAGTTTCTACGATGAATAGAAGCCGAGATATTGCAAAATTTACAGCGCGCATCAATTTGAACTTTTCTCTCGCTTGCGACCGCTTGGACGAGCTTCCCCCACCACCACGCCGCCGACCGCCGATCGGTTTACTTAGCGAGTACCTTCTCTTTAAAGGGTCGTTAATTTTCCACATTTTTCAATGCAATTCACGGGAAATCGTAGTTTACGTCGTAAACTGTATTTAGTGAAAAATTCAAGTCTTAATATTTATAAACAATTGCGCTACGATTTAAAAAAAAATTCTTATCTTGGCTCCTGTTGGTCGTAGAGGGTACTTTTTTTTATTTTAACAATAAATGCCATAGTTATAAACAAATTAAAAAATCGGCACTTTTCTTGTTTTTCTGCAATAACTTTTTTGTTTATTAACCGATTTTAATTTAACCAGTCTCATTTTGTAGATAATTTTACTCTCTATAAGCCGTCTGAGAGTCACTTTTCGCTAAAATTAATGGTTGCAAAGTGAAAAAACTGTTTTCCTCACTTATTTGTTTAAATAGAAAAGTTAGCTAACAAAAGTTTTTGACTCACGAGATGAGAGATGTCTTGTATTATGTTCCTTTAGACAATTTTACAATGATCTCGCGGATAGGACTTTTTTCGAGTTTCTCTTTTATTTTCTCTAATTTTCCTGGTGTAAGTTCCAGTGTTACAGAAGAATCCCTCTTAGGTGGAACACCCTGTATAGTTCAATCCTTTTCATTACATCTGTCTCATAAAAAACAAAATAAAGGGTATTATTTCAAATAGGTAGAGTTTATTTTTCTCATATTAAATTAATTTATCAGACTATAATTTTTTTATTTCCACTTTTATCACATTCTTATGTTTTTGTCTGTTTTAATGTTTTAACTAAAAATGTGCGTAACTATTTCCTACCCTACAACTGGCCCCGTCTGCCTGGATAACTGCTCACGCAAACAAGAACAAACGAATAAATGAATAAATAAATAAATGAAAGAATAAATAAATAAATGTTATCCGTCCACAAAAATATGGTTACCTCCTGTTCTGATACCACGTTTTGACCTGTGTCTCGCTCAAATTCAGGGCGTCGGCGACGTCGCTCCTGTCGGCCACCGACAGGTATTTCTGGCAGCGGAACTTCCTCTCCAGGTAGGCGAGCTGCGCGTGCGTGAAAGCCGTCCTCCGGCGTCGCGGTTTGCGGCCCTTTACCGCCTCCCCCTGGCTCTCCGGAACGCCTACGAAGATGCCGTCCGGCTCGCCAGCGACTTCGACGTCGAGGTCCTGACGGTCGCTAGCGGCGTCGGAGTCGACTGGAAGGATTAGTGATAAAAAAAATGNTCGAGTTTCTCTTTTATTTTCTCCAATTTTCCTGGTGTAAGTTAGTGTTACAGAAGAATCACTCTTAGGTGGAACACCCTGTATAGTTCAATCCTTTTCATTACATCTGTCTCATAAAAAACAAAATAAAGGGTATTATTTCAAATAGGTAGAGTTTATTTTTCTCATATTAAATTAATTTATCAGACTATAATTTTTTTATTTCCACTTTTATCACATTCTTATGTTTTTGTCTGTTTTAATGTTTTAACTAAAAATGTGCGTAACTATTTCCTACCCTACAACTGGCCCCGTCTGCCTGGATAACTGCTCACGCAAACAAGAACAAACGAATAAATGAATAAATAAATAAATGAAAGAATAAATAAATAAATGTTATCCGTCCACAAAAATATGGTTACCTCCTGTTCTGATACCACGTTTTGACCTGTGTCTCGCTCAAATTCAGGGCGTCGGCGACGTCGCTCCTGTCGGCCACCGACAGGTATTTCTGGCAGCGGAACTTCCTCTCCAGGTAGGCGAGCTGCGCGTGCGTGAAAGCCGTCCTCCGGCGTCGCGGTTTGCGGCCCTTTACCGCCTCCCCCTGGCTCTCCGGAACGCCTACGAAGATGCCGTCCGGCTCGCCGGCGACTTCGACGTCGAGGTCCTGACGGTCGCTAGCGGCGTCGGAGTCGACTGGAAGGATTAGTGATAAAAAATTTATGATCTTGTCTTAAAATTGATGCAATGAGCAATAATGAAACTGTGGTGTTAGGTCTGCTTTAATGTACAGGGTTAGTCACTATAATCTGACAGCTTATTGTGAGTTTATTATTGAAATTACAAAAAAGTTTTTAATACAAAAATTTTAGCTGTTCTTTATGAATTTTTATAATACAGTATTAGAAAAAACAATCGAATAACGGAAATCACTGAATTAAAAATAATTAATGGAACACCCTATATATTAGTGCATAGTTAGCTTCGTTAAATTTTTCTCTTTTCAAAAATATATAATATGTTTCTGTTTGATTCAGAACTTTTCAACATATTTCAGTTTTGAAAAAACAGAAGGGAAATTTATGTCTGACGGATCGCAGTGGCTATGGACGAGGCACGCGGAACAAACAAATGACTTTGACAGAAGTTTATTTATCATCATTAATTTATTTCCTATAACAAACCCGTTTAACACCGAAATAATGTTTAGTGAGAACGAAAAATTTGAAGTTATCCGTTTATTTTATGTTAATAATAAAAATCATTCTTAACTTTAGCAAGTCTTAACTTTAACAGAATTTTAATGCCTAATTAATAAAAACCAACTAAAACACAAATGGTCACAGATGCTCAATGTGACCGCCATTATTATTGATGCACTTCATATAATCCTCATTATTTATTATTAAATTCACTTAAATTTTGTATACATTGATCAACTTTATGTCTTAGTTCATCTAGTTTCTTTACTAGCCTCGAGTTGATTTTTTGATATTTTGTTTATAACACGTTTCCGAACAATATTCCGCAGAGAAACTTCTAATAGTATTTTTTTCCCGAAAAAAAGGTACCTATAATGACTGGTCTATAATGCTCTGATACATACCTACATACATATGTATCATCAGCATACATAATAGTTTTTACATCAACTCTTGAGGGCAAGTCATTTGTATATAAAACGTACGACAAAAGACCCAATATCGATCCCTGAGGTACACCCCTTTCTATCAATATTACGTTTGACTTTATGAGAGCACCAGTATCGTCCGTTTCTACAACACACTGCTTCCTATTCAGCAGGTAAGATTTTATCAATTCTGAGGCAACACCTCGAATGCCATACATTTGAATCTTTTTATTNGAACTTCCTCTCCAGGTAGGCGAGCTGCGCGTGCGTGAAAGCCGTCCTCCGGCGTCGCGGTTTGCGGCCCTTTACCGCCTCCCCCTGGCTCTCCGGAACGCCTACGAAGATGCCGTCCGGCTCGCCAGCGACTTCGACGTCGAGGTCCTGACGGTCGCTAGCGGCGTCGGAGTCGACTGGAAGGATTAGTGATAAAAAAAATGTATGATCTTGTCTTCAAATTGAAGCAATGAGCAATAATGAAACTGGTGTTAGATCTGCTCTAATGTACAGGGTTAGTCACTATAATCTGACAGCTTATTGTGAGTTTATTACTGAAAAAACAAAAATGTTTTTAATATAAAAGTTTTAGCTTTTTTATAAATTTTTATCATATATACTTTCATATTTCTTATATTGACTTGTCCTATATCTTTTGCTTGTAAGATCTGAAGGGATGAATATTATTATTATTATTATTATTACTATTGATGTCATTGCCAGTAGTATGTATAATCTCATTATCCTCCTTTTGGTATGTAAAGTTGATTATTTGTGTTTTTTCTTTATTTAATTTAAAATTATTTTTATAGAAATAGGACAGGCGGTCACCATTTGTTTTAGGTATTCCTTATTTTTATTACCAATTATTATAGATGTATCATCAGCATACATAATAGTTTTTACACCAACTGTTGAGGGCAAGTCATTTGTGTATAAAACATACGACAAAGGACCCAATATCAATCCCTGAGGTACACCCCTTTCTATTAATATTACGTTTGACTTTATGAGAGCACCAGTATCGTCCGTTTCTACAACACACTGCTTCCTATTCAGCAGGTAAGATTTTATCAATTCTGAGGCAACACCTCGAATGCCATACATTTGAATCTTTTTAATCAGAAAAGTCGGAAGAAAGTGGGCATTGGAGGAAACAATTGCTTTCAGAACCGAAACATTCGCAAGCAACTCGTCCAAGATGGGGCCCCGGGCGTGGCGGAAGACAAAGCGGTTTACTCATTATTACAAGGGAAACGGATTATTCAAAACGCATATAGAAGACAACAGGGGTCTAATTGGAGGATCTCTCGGTGCATCCCCAGCAAAAAGCGCCCCCTGCCGGGCGAGCCGAGAGTTCGCCTTAATTACCGCCCGGGGAGGATTCGGGATTTTTTATAGTTGGTGCCGCTCTCTTAAGGCCCTACACTTTTCTGATGTATTTTGTAGACTGGATTGGATGAGGTTTTAGAACAGGAGTGGATCTTTTCATGAGACTATTAGGTACTAAAGGAAGTAGAAGAATAGGTTTTAAGCAGCTTCATTCAAATTTTCCAACCACGAAAGCTTTAAGAGTGGAAGAGGATACAGAAAATAGTTACAAGTACATTTTACATATTCCGAACATTGAGAACTGTTGCAAAATGTTCTGAGAATTCTAGAGCAGATTCTAGATAACAAAAATACGAAAAAATTCCTATAAACGTAGGTCCGCAAATGCTTCGTTTTCGAAATACAGGATGTCAAAAAAAAAATTAAAAATATGTTTTTATTGCCAATTTCTAAATTTTTCATTGGAAATCGTTTAAATTTGGGTCAATATATTTATGATACGTGGGTTATAATTTGGTATAATCGTTTGCATTTCAGACCCATCAGGGGCGTAGATATGGGGGAGTACCTATTGATTTTAGACCAGAAAACTTACGCCACTGGTTTTTCTACTGGTTTTTGCTTTATTTTTAGGAAACTCATTTATTTTAGAGCAATAAGGCCCCCTCGCACATTTGTCATTTAGCGAGCGACTTTCAAGATATTGAAAATTTTAAAAAATCATGCTAATCTATCTATGAAACCAGTACCTTCTAAAAAAAACATAGTTGGTAACTGTCACTGAAAAATTATGTGCGCTGTCACTATGGCGAAATAAATGACCCAAATTTAACGATTTCCAGTGAAAAATTTAGAAATTATAAATAAAAACATTTTTTTTGGCGTCCTGTATTTCGAAAACGAAGCCTTTGCGGTCCTACGTTTATAGGAATTTTTTTGCAACACCCTCTATATCCTGTATATAAAATATGTCACTTTAATTCTAATTATTTAAACTTCAGTAACTATAGATCTTGATAACGAGGAGTTTCATCTATGTCATAAGAAAAAAATAATTACTCTGCTTCTGAGAATATGTTGCGCTTATTCTGACCAATAAAAGTCCTCCACATATAGTAAATACTTGACGTCGAGGCAAGAAATTATTAACATAAATGTTACCAAAACTTAACCCTGAGGAACTCAGGCATTGCACTAAATTGTATCGATTTAAATCCTTGACACTGAACAAATTGTTGTCCGCCATAAAGTTTTGGCTAAATAGTTGACACAGCAAGAAATTATTAATATAAATGTTAAGTAATAATAGACCCAGAACTGAACCCTGAGGAATCCAGACATTGCACTAAATTGTATCGACTTANTTACTAATATAAATGTTAAGTAATAATGGGACTAAAACTGAACCCTGAGGAACCCAGACATTGCATTAAATTGTATCGACTTAAATCTTTGACATTGGGCAAATTGTCGCCTGCCAAGAAAATACGACTTAACTTTGTTGACACAGTTAAAAATTATTAACATAAATGTTAAGTAATATGGACCTAGAATTGAACCATGAAGAACACCAGATAGCACCAAGTTGTATCGACTTGAATCCTTGACATTGAACAAATAGTGGTCTGCAATGATGACTTAAATACTTGACATAATTTATCAGAAATACCTACTCAATCAAGTATGTGGAAAATAAGGACATGATAGATAGTTTTTACGTGTTCATATTTGCCAAAGGTGATGACAGAACAACAAAAATATAAAATACTTTGATTTATTACATTATTTATCGATTTCAATGTATGTGTTGATTATTTTTTCTAAATTTGATTGGTATAGTCATATACTTACAGGTGTCACCATATGCGTCATTGTATTATTTTCTTTACACTTTTTTAATCCGATTAACAACAACATTGATTTCTTTGATCAAGTGTGTTTTTACTTAAAATTTTAACAACATAATTAATTAACAATGAAATTACTTTACTATGTTTTATTATAACAAATGTTGGAAATGATCACTTTCAGCCAAAATACATGCTTCAGAAAACCGTATTAACTGAAACAAGATTTTAACAGTGTTTATTAGAAAATAATCGAAAAACAGTAGTAGGCAATGATTTATCTTTCAAACTTGTCAGTTAGTAATAAAATTATTTTATTTCAACAATTGCCCCTGATTGTTGTTGAAAAAATATCATTTATTATTTTTATTATTTATTTGTGTTTTTTACTTAATATAATATTCGCTTATTTAAAAACTACCTAGGAACTTGTTTTCTTTTTGTAGAATTAGGAGAGAAGTAAAGTAAAATTTATTTGGCCAATTGTCAAATTTGAAAGATAAAGCCTACTACTGACTTTTGCATTATTTTCTAATGAACACTGTTAATATCTTGTGTCAGTTAATACGTTTTTTCTTGAAAACTATAAAGTTTTTTTGAAATTTAACAAGAGTAAAAAATTTTTAAAATTAAATTCTGCACATATATATTTTTTACTCTATTTTAAAGATAACTTCTGAGTGTTGGAACAAAATTATTTATTTACCTTCATTAGTACTCGACTGGCTAAGCACGTCGCCCAAAAGATCCTTTATCAAAAACGATTTGTGCTCTTGCATAGTTCATTTAAATCGAAAACAAAAACACTACCGCATAATACCACACACAAAAATAACAAACAATGACGAAACAACGATTAAACACTAAATAATATGCAGATAATAACTCTAATTGCGATATGGATTAAAAAAAATTGAGGAGGAATCCGACAGACAAAAATCCGAGGGACTGTATCCGTAATAGATACAGAGATTTGATAAACTGTGACATGAGGTGACAGCGGTGGTGATAAATGGGAAGTTTTACGCTCTAAGCGGCGTAACCGCAGCATCCCTAATAGACATCAACCCCTATATTCGCAGACTCCTCCCACGGGTTCAGAGACTCCACCTTTCTTAATCTTCCCTTCAAGGGAGCCACCAGAAGCGTCACGCTTCGCGAACTCTTTCCGCGAATTTAAAAATGTCTTCTGATTGCGTTGGCTGGAATCTTACAAAAAACTGGTTTAGTTTGTTCGTTTACCACTGAGAACTTTTTATTTTCTGCGTTCCTAGTATTTTTGCCTTTTTATTAAAAAATCCCTACACACTGATTTTCCGAAAAAATCGCAGCGGGTCACAAATTACGAACTGGATCATCTCGTAACTGATTCAACAGTCAAAAACCTATAGTATTACTGTAAAGTGGGTCTGTTTAATCTCAAAGTGAATTTTGTTCATAAAAAGCAGAAGAAAGATGATAAAAACCAATCTTCGATAACATCTGCGTAAAAATTTACGCAGGGAATGTCTTAATAATAAACATAAAACAATATAACCTTTTGCAATGACACACTTACTACAAAATCAATGAAAGTTTGTTCAAAAATGTATGCCATTATATAAAAATTATAATTTTTTTAAAGTATATGATGTTTCACTGGTTTTTGATTCAATTGGGAATTTGTTAAGGTCACTTAAAACCTTAAAAAAGCATGGCTTTATACACTGTTTGTATTCTTCATGCACTAGGTATATGGAAGTCGTTTTGGTATCTGGCATCATGATCATCGACAATTTAAGGCTGGTTTTCATTTAGGGTACTGTGCTCCGACCATGTTCCGTTCATGTTGTGTCGTCTAGAATCTCAAACTTATATTTCTCCATATAATAACACGGAAAACATCAATTCTCTTTTTCATTTGAACTGTTCCGTTACAACTGTGCGCCTGCTGTGCGCCAACCGTTGGTTACCAATTGCTCGAGGAAGCGATTCGCGACATGGAACCTGCCAGCGGTTAGAAGATAGATATATCGAAATGTTGAGTTCTTAAGCTGAATATGTGGACGAAGCAATTCCCATAGGTCTCGAAATTTTGGATAACTCATTAGGAAATACTTCACAAATTTGATAGGATCATCTATCAATCTGTAGAAAATTGTGTGAAATTCCCCTTCCTCATCTCTTGCCCGGTACAAGGGATGAATCGAAAATCTTTTCTTTCTCCTTTTCTGTTTTCGCTTGAGAAGAATGTAAGCAAAATATGTTACCACAACGCCTTCCTCGTCCTGATTCATTTCGTAAACTGGCACGTTGTAGTTTGACAACAACAGTGGTGTATAAAACTGGCAGAACGAATGTCTATGATGAACAAACAGTTCCTCAATCTTGACTGATGAGGTGGTGAACAAGGTCGAAGAAATGTTTCGTGGCAACCGTCGATTGACTTTGGACGAGATGAACGCAGTGTTTTCATAGATCTACAGATCTCTTCTGAATGAAATCATTACTGAAACGAAAATGTGGGTACGAGGTGGCTACCAAAACAGCTTACGGTTCAACACAAAGCCAACAGAATCGCATCTTCATGTGAACTTATCGAGCGCTTAGAACTGGAAGGTGAACAATTCCTTGACTGTATTGTGACACGACGGAACGTGGGTGGCCTACTACACCCCTGAGAACAAAAGGCAGTGGCGATATCAGTCTTCACCATCAGCAAAAAAAATCAAAACCGTTGTTTCGGCCCGAAAAATCATGGCAACTGTGTTTTGAGACCGTAAAGGTATTCTTCTCATTGATTTTTTGCTCAAGGGGGAAACAATTAATGTTGCGCTGTACTGTAAAACCCTGAAAACACTACGGAGAGCGATGAAGAATAAAATAAGAGGAATGTTAACGAAGAGAGTGTTCTTGTTGCATGACAATGCACGTCTTCACACAATCAAAGCTACAAAGCAATTCTTGGATTCATTTGATTGGAACATCATCACCTTCTGATTTTCATCTTTTATTTCCTCTGAAGGTGTTTATGGGTGGTTTTCTACCGACGATGACGTCCACAACACCGAGAAACAATGGACTTGAGAGGCGGCGGGAGATTTTTTTGACGAAGGTATCAGGAAGCTAATCTCTCGACTCACAAAGTACATTGAAGTTGAAGACGTCTACGTCGAAAAATAGTGTTTAATGTACCTTTATCAATACGTAATTTTTTTATAAATATACTGCTGTTTTGGTTTTTAAAAAATTGTACCCTTACTTTGTAGATATTCCTCGTATTTTTTAGAAAGAATATTTGATATTGTTTGAATTAGCTTAATAACTTTATAATCAAGTAAAAATAAATCTGATTGTTGTGAAATGGACTAATATGTGCTTAGTGACTTCTTCGTTGCAAGACGAGAAAATCCACCTTCACTATTGAGTGAATTAAATTTGGTTGTTTGCTGGAATTCAAAGTTTTATATNACCTTAACCGTACACATATATATTTGTTAATAGCTATAATTCATTAATGATTAAAATATTGTTATTGGGAAGAAGAAAACGCCAACATAGATATTGGGTTGGATCACTTAAATAGAAAACACAACACGACCGTTTCCACTAAACAGACTTGAGTTTCAAAACACGTCAAAACCTTTTGATGTGACCGCTTTCGAGCGGGATCCGAAAAACAAAACTCCAACAGTCGCAAAACACGCCAGTCTTCAAAAAGTTTGCGAAAAGTTACAGTTTTGTTTTATTCGATACAAGTTTGTGTTTTGTTTTTGTTTCGTCCGTTTAGTGGAAAACCGCCTTTTTGAAGCGGGACCCGAAAAACAAAACTCCAACTGTCGCAAAACACGCCAGTCTTCAAAAAGTTTGCGAAAAGTTACAGTTTTGTTTTATTCGAAACAAGTTTGTCTTTTGTTTTTGTTTTGTCCGTTTAGTGGAAAACCGCCTTAAGACAGCGTATTGATGAATTGTCTTTTCTAAAAATTTTGTATAAATTATATTATAAAATCAAAATAAATTCATGTAAGGTGTTCATACGTGCAAATTAATAATGCATGATTGAATTGTTGTCAGCTAATAGATTAACTTAATCTTTTATCAGTTATATAAAACAAAAATATTACTATTTATAGATATTGTTATGTTAATAACAGATAATAAAACTGTTTTTGTTATATGTCAGGATGGCCGAGCGGTCTAAGGCGCCAGACTCAAGGTTTCCTTGCCTGCAATGTAGGTTTCGAGCGTTCTGGTCCACTCTGTGGGCGTGGGTTCGAATCCCACTTCTGACATCCTTTTTTTTTATTTTTTTCCCACAACAAAGGTACACAATAAACTTTTTAATATAAAATTTATTTTTCATTTCGAAAATAAACATTTTATTGATTCAAATTGGTTCGGGACAAAAGATTTGATTAAATTTTAAGTTTTATACCTTCGTAATTGGCAACCATGAATACACAAACCAGTATTGAGAGTTGCCTACATAAAAAAAGGAAATTTGAGCTTTTTATTCTATTTACCCGCTGAAGTTGTAGATAATAATGATACTTTCATTGAAATTAGATATTATTAGTATTTACAACACCGAAAGATGACTATTTGACACTTAAAAAAATTGTTCTGCAATTAGTTTGTTACATTTAAAATCAAAAATAAGGAAAATGAATATAATCTCAGCCCTTTTTTCTTTGCTTTACGTTTATCGTTCTTCGGTGCCCTTGAAAAGCATAAATTACTGGTATTTAGTGAACTGTAGTCTTTCTAAAATACACTTTTTTGTGGGAACTCTTAATATTTATAAAATAAAACAAGTTCAATACAAACAATACTTTTATTTAACAATTTTAGACCTATTCGATTAATTGTTTAAAAGGAATTGTGATACACTGTTACTGTAAGCGGAAGGGAGATTTTTTTGCAGTTCTGTCCTATCGAGCCACTTATAATCAATTTTTTCCTGAGGAAGTTGACCTTTAACGTACCTCGCAAAGTAAAAAAAAACCTAAAATATGATCAAGACGATATAAACATATTAAACATGTTATTTATTACATTACCTTTGCCCCTACAGCACCATTGGTATTTTGGACTGCTTTAGGGTACTTATATTTATAAAATCCACAAGGCGCGTTTCCATAAATTTGTACTTTAATATCGTCACCACAATTTTCTCTTAAAACTCTTTCCGCTGTCTAAAACGCAAACGTTTTGTAATCAAATGCTGGTTCCCTCTAGTGGAATAATGTAGCACTAAAAATATTAGTATAAAATGTATCCTACCTGCCTTAAAGTCTCACCGTCCTGTCTAACTCCTTGAGGAAGCATAAAATAATTTTTGTCACCAATTTTTTGATCCAGGACAAGCACAAGATGTTTATCCAACTTTCTCTCAAGAGACTTTAAGTCGTTGTTTTTGTCTGGTTCTAAAATAATAATTCTCAGAAAGAAGTTTAACACAATATAAAATAAATCACACCAGTGACTTTTTCCGCCGGCTTAAATTGTGCCAATTCTTCATTAGCAGCGTCAACAAAGTCTTGAGCAGTCTGTTTTAAATTGACTTCTTCATCAAAGTTTCCACCTTTCTTTAAAGATTCTATAGCTCTCCTACAAAATTAACCAATAAATGTATTTCCCTATAAGAAAATACAACTTACTTTTCAGACTCGTGTTTCATTTCATGATCACATTTTAAACTCTTCTCAAACTCTACTTCTTGTAAATACTGTTTGTATTGCTGTTCCAAGTCGTTTAACGCAGGAGTTATCACAGGTTTTCGTTCTACACAAACTGCTGATAGCAGATCCCATTTTTCTCTGTTTGAAGAAGACATACTAATCTGAGCTAAAATATGAGACTGAGAAAAATACTATTAAGTCATGTGAAATTATACCTTTCGTTAAATTTCTAAAATTAATGCTAATTTGAAAAATTTTCAAAGTATTTTTAAACATCTCTGCAGCTTTAAAGTTGAGGTTAAGATTAGAACCACAGACGCACAAACCTTAGACGAGAGGAAATGTGGCGTGTTCTATAATCCATAATTTTAATTCAGTGTATTCTATGAGTATACTATTATTGGTCAGTTTAAAAATGTGAAGCTTTGATTGGTTCTAATGACAGAGAAGAACACGGCTTTTGTGTGATACTAAAATCAAAGATTTTATAGAAGTAGAAACGTAACCTTCTTTAAAAAACGTATCCTCTTGTTTCGGTCTAATCAGTTTCAATAACTATTAAAATATAAAATATTTAGAATAAAGTTGAAATAACAAATAGATTGTAAGCTTACAAAGAAAGGAATAATATTCTAAGATAATATTCTCCGAGGTCCTAGTATAACATGTTGCATAACTACGTGGGTTAATTTTCTTTTATAAGTTTTTCAATGACTTAAAAGAAATTGTTATCATCTCTACTAACTTTTATAATACTTATAGTAACTAAATTATTCTACTAAATATAAAATGACGTATATTTGAAGCGAAAAATAGACAAATTCTAGTTTTAAATCATATGATTCACTTACAACTTCCTTAAAAATTATCGTGTTGGTCTCAAAAGATAGGTATTAAAACAACAATATATGGTAAAATGCGTATATTAACAACAACCTCCTAGCAAATATTAACAATATCAACAATAAATTCACTAAAGTTAGATGATCATCCTTTCTACATGCTCAACTTATAACAACTATAACAATAAATCAAATGATTTTCATTTTACAAAATGATTATCCACATAAATCAAACCAAGTTTAGACAGTAATCACAGCAACATTTACTACTATTACCTAAATTTTCAGGCGATTTCATTACTTTTAAGTTGCTAACATTAATAAGTGCTTTTTACATTAGGCAACTGTGTAACATAGTAAAATATATAAAAAGCTATTAATAATAATAATTACAATGGATTATTTGTCCATGATAACCATCTGTATGGATGAAACATAAAAATGGGGGGAGGTGGAAATTCTATTAGTTAGCATCATATATTTACAGTAACAACAATCCCATTATTCTAATATAATTGTTGCATTGTCGCAGTTTTTGAAACAACCGTGACAACCACTGACGCTTATTAGCTTTTCCACCAACTTTTTCAGCTACTTTTACTGTTCCATACAGAGAACGACTTAAAATTAAACGCACGAACAAATCACAACCCTTTTTGGATTAAAAGCAAAACTTATCCGATATTTTTAGGCACATGCTTTGATTTTTTTTGAACACTGGATTTACTAGCGGGATTTTTCCATTAAAATATGTGATTTTCAATGATGTAATACACTGAGATTTCCCAATTTTGCTTATAGTCTGCTTCCAGGTACTTATTTGCTTTGAAAATATAGTTTCATAATTCGTTATAGGTAAGCCTTATGAAATGTGAAGTAGATTGTGAAACATATCTTCTAAGAACTCCGAGAAGTTCTTTTTAAGCACAGGACAGTGCAGCAGGCTAATTAATCCTTTCACATTTCAAACAAGTCTGGATGCACCATGATACAAAGACTAAAAGATATGACATTGCGCACACCCGCGGCCATATTGTGACGTCATGTGGAGATCAAATAGCGATTTATGGATATAGTCTGTGTAGCACTGATGGGCAGCGCTGTTAATAACGCGATTGCTGTAGTGAGTATTAGTATTATTAATAGATAACCAAAGGAAATTCTTTAATAAAGACATCATGTTTTCCAAATAATGAAACTATTAAAACAATCTGGGTTGAAGCTTGCAGACATATATATTTAACATCTATAATGCTTGGATTTTTTATTTAATGATACGTCAGAATCCAAGAAAAATTCTGAAAGAGCTGCACAAGAATTACTTTATAAATGAAACACTTACATTTCTCCACGTGACGTCAAGCGCTGAACCGATTTCAGTTCACAGCAATATCATTCTTCTAGCCTTTGTATCATGGTTGTACCTTGTATTTTTATGCTGACTGATGTATCATTTTTTAAAAATGTCAGGATGAAACTTTGAAAAATGAAGTTTTGCGAATGTCCATGAAAATGGAAAAATTTGTTGTCTGTAAATGGAAATAACTAGACTACTTACAGACACTGAGACATTTAAGTGCAATTTACGAATGGTGCGAAGTGGATTGAATGTCAGTGTAAGAAAGAGTTAATTAATACTAGACATTAGTCTACAAAATTTACAAATAAATTTTTATAGAATTCAAATTCTTCTGTTTATAGTTTTAAAATGACAATAGATGATAACCTGTACAAAAATGATTTACGTATTTAATACTTCTAGAAAAATAAAACACGAAACAGTGTTTCAAGATAAGTGTTCAGTTTGCTAATTTTGTAGGCAATGTCTACAATTTAGGTAGTTATTTAAGCCTAAGAACAACTACATACGGATACAACTACGGCTTTCAGTTGGACGTATTAACGAATTTCTTGATTGTTCTTAAGATATAAGATAAGTTACTAACAAGTAGATAAAAGCTTAGATTGCATCAGTTTACTTTTGATTTTCAGCAATTCTATCTCTAGTAGTTACCAACTACAATTTTTCCACTATTTTTTAAGTACTAACCTTACAAGTCGTACAAAACAACGCGTTGTGATTAAGACTACGCTTAGGTTAATACAGGATTGGAAATATTTTTTTAAATCAATTTCAACTAGAAACGCAATCTTTAATACTGTTTGTTGAGAATTAAAAGTTACTATAGTGAGCTAAGATATAAAAATAACAGCAACGAGTTGATTTAAAATATTTTGCATCAAAGTTGGCTCTGATCTTGCTTATCGGGTGTGCCAGTCTTATATTTTATGAGAAAATGATCTCCCATCTCCCATTCTATCACATCTTCCAGTATGATTTTTTTTTCAGAGCAACCTTGATGCAAAAATATCACATATAATTTATAAAAAAATATTTATTCTAACATGCTGATCAGTCATTGCTTATCTAACGGTGAATAATATATTTTAACAACGATTTCCCCCACATCTACAGGGTGGGCTAGTAGTGTGAGAAAGTAATATAACTCCCTTGTTATTCATAATACTGAAAAAAAGTTTGTATAAAAGTTGTACAGAAGCAAAAAACAGGGCGATTTGTGAAAACGGGATACGCCAAATATTACATTTTTATAATGGAACACCCTGTATATTTTTAAACATGGATTTCTGAGAAAATTCTATATATGGCAATATAAACAGTTATATAAAAAAAACATATAAAAAAACATGACCTCGAAGAATTTGTATTAACTTTCAACTACTAACACTTGGAGCAAAAATATTTGACAGAGTTATAGGCAAATGTTAGGCAAAGACTCCTATATTAGCTAATATCGATATTTTATACAGGGCATTTTTTATAATACGATCATTTTAAGAAAGTTCAAACTTGATTTTCTAAAATTTTTCAAATGGAACACCCTGTATTTTATTGTTCTATTTTATTCACATATCAGTCCACTTCAACTTTTATTAAGTATGTTCTACACCTAAAGTTGTTAGTTTTTAAGATATAGCAACATTTCTGGAAAAACCTAATTTTTATTATTTTCGGTCGCACGAAATGGCTTTGGAAAAAACTGTCACATTGTGTCAACTTGTCAGTTCATAATTTATCATTCCATTTTGAGTTGATTTTATTAGTTAATATTTATTTATGGTATTCTATAAAATGATAAAAATTAAGTGTTTTCAGAAATGTTGCTATATCTTAAAAACTAACAGTTTTAGATATAGAACATGCTTAATAAAAGTTGAAGTGAACCGATATGTGAATAAAATAGAACAATAAAATACAGGGTGTTCCATTTGAAAAAAAAAAATTATCGTATTATAAAAAATGCCCTGTATAAAATATCGATATTAGTTAATATAGGAGCATTTGTCTAACATTTGCCTATAACTCTGTCTAATTATTTTGTTCCAAGTTTTAGTAGCTGAAAGTTAATACAACTTCTTCGAGGTCATGTTTTTTTCCAAAATTCGAAGAATTTTCTACATAACTTGACAACCCCGCACTAAGATGATAAACTGTTTATATCACCAAATATAGAATTTTCTCGGAAATCCATGTTTAAAAATATACAGGGTGTTCCATTTTAAAAAATGTAATCTTTGGCGTGTTCCGTTTTTACTCATCGCACTGTATATTTCAAATTAATTTTGTAGTTTAGGTTTCTTGATTCTGTACAACTTTTATATAAACTTTTTTCCTATATTAGGAGTAACAAGGGAGTTATTTTACTTTCATGTTTCAATTAAAAACTACGAAATTTCAAAAAAAAATTACTCTATTCTATTACATCATAAGCTTTGGATTGGAACTATTAAATTTTTAATCCGCACGAAATACGTAGAAGAAATGATTGTTGCTCGATTCTGATTGGTGGGCAAGCACCGAGTTTTTGAAAGAGTAGGCTTGGATGACGTATCAACAGATAACTTGGTTTAATATTAGTCGAAGCTTTCGAAAATTTCGGTTTCCATATTTTTTCTGAGTATTTGACCAATAATAACGAACAAAACGTTATTTTTTCATAATGTTGAATTTTCTATTAAAATTAAGTAATAAGTATAATGTTTTACTTTTACCCTGTATACTCCAAATATTATTAAAACATTATTACTGACGTAACTTGATTGATATTGTGAAGAAAAAATATTTTCAAACAGATTCTAGAAGAGGGAAATCAATATATTTTGAGGCCAACGTTGTTGTTCAATAGAATAACTTGTTAAACCGTTCATAAAATTTTTAAAATCTGATATTGTCTCTAAATAGTTGCTTGTTGATACTTTAGTGATTGTCTTTCTGTAAGTAAGCGGTAAATGCATTGTAAAACTTAAGATATGTGACTTTTTGAGCATTGTTAGATATATACTATAATGCATACATACTTTATTTTAATTAGGAATGTAGTTTACTCTGTAGAACGTGTAATAGTTTCTTTGTGAACTTGTTGAGAACCACTGAGTTTTCTGTGGTCCTGTCTATTTTAAATGGGAGATGCAGACTTAGATTTAACCTACATATCAAGCTAATCAAACTAAAAGATTGGGGCAAAATCGCAATTCCATCTCGGTTCGGCGCTTCTAAAAATGCACATTGGATGGATTTGAAAAATTTATTCATTTATCTTAAATTTGGATATCAAAGTTGTGACACTGAAAAATATTGTACCAAAACAAGGCAACCGTTATTTTGTTAATAAATTGATATACATGGTTTTGGTAAAAATAACATACAGGTACTTTTACAGCGCCTAGGTAAAGACGCTTTGAATTTATTTTCAATTCTCGACCCAACGAATTGAACAACAAGACCAGTAAAACCCGCCATACTCAGAGCAAAAATTTCTAATACCGTTTTCTGACCATAGCCTACTGTCTCAAAAACCTTGTATGTCATACCCACAACTTAAGTGCTAGCGGTGGTGCTCCTGCTAGAGCCCGACGTCGTGCTTCCGGTCATGATGAATCTAGGGGGTGGTTGTGGCGGTAGACGGGGGTAGTCTTCGACCGGGGGGAGGACGTTTTCGAAGTAACCTCCCGAAACGTTGCCTGGAGGCGAGTAATGAGCCACTACGACTATCTTTCCCGTCCTGGAACGGGCTTTGCCCACTCCGCAGTAACGGGAGCCGACCCACACCATCTGCGTGAAATGGCCTGCGGGAGAAATCGGTTATTGGTAAAGTTTTCAACACGGTTAAAAATAGAGTAGGGTCGTTTCCAACTTTTTTGGTGGTTTTCAAAGATTTACGCAAAATATTTACGTATTTCATTATGTTCTATTCTTTCATAGATCTGTGTAAAAAAAATAGCTAGGCAAAACATTTCTGTAAAAATTGGTTACGGAAGTTTGTGTAGTAAAATTACAATTAAAGCTGACCCAAGAAAATTTGAAAATTTATTTTTACCAAACAAGCTTATTTAAACTGACATTACGTGAAACAACTACTCCGCTGATTAATGTGCCGACCAGTATTGAATTATACCAGTCATTTCTAGTAAACGACTGGGGTCATGCGTCAGTCGAACCCACCAGACATATACTGGTTTCAAATTTATTAATTATCATCAGTATGCCTTAAGGGAGACAGCAGGTCGCTCTCTGCCAGTTTGACTGTTTAAATTGGTAGGTATTGAGTAGCAGCGATTCGATTTACCAACGAATGATAATTAACAAAAAGTAACTGTCATTTGCTAGTTTTATTTTATGTTGAAATGAAATTTTATGAAGAGTTCGCTTATGGAAACGACTCCATTTTATGAGATGAGCCGTGAGTAAGTTGATAAGAAAATTAATCGAGAGATATGTAAGGACTTACATAAATCAAAGCGTGCGTGAATATCCGACAGTAGACAGTGATGAACGATGCGATGGGGCTTATCTTTAATGGAATCATAAATGTTGTGAAAAATATAAATACCCAGATAAATCTAGAACAAACGTGGAAGAAAAACACGATGAGGATCGGGAAAGAAGGTTATGGAACGAGGTTATTCCAGGTTCTGGATTAACTTGATAAAACACGAAAAAGGAATTTGAATTTGTATTAGCAACGCATAAGTTGAAAATTCTCTATATTGAAGGTGACATCGGTGAACAAAATATACTTTTCTATCTGGATCCATAATTGCTCCATCACATCATGTCTTTGTGATGTCCTAACCTAAATATGTGAAAAACATGTTCCTACAAAAAAATCCATTTTGTATTGTTTAAATATATTCTTTCCTTTTTCTGGTATATATAATTTTTGCATGAATATAAAGTATCAAATAATTTTCTTTCAAATGAAACACAAAATACTTGTTAATAATTGTTTTCCTTTATTACGTCTCATTTGAAAAATTGTTTAGAAAATGGAAAACCACCCTCTTATTCTAATACAAAACAAAACAGTGAAGATGCAAACGTCTGTCTTTAGATACACTTACCTGCATTAACGTTAGCGTGTAAGCAGTCTGGTTCTTTCCCAAAATCGTACTGTCGAACTGCAGAATACCAGTACGTAGCTACTTCTTGTCCTAAAAGTAGATATTATTCCTGTTTAGGGTATCGGAAATACAAAACATATGATTCAGTTTATAATTAAACTATATTCTGTTATGAGTTCGATCAAGTTACATGTTTGATAAGTACATAAAACAAAAGCCAATAAACTAGAGGGAATCTATTTTGCCTACTACCTACTATGTTATTACCAATCTTAAGGCTTACTTGAAGGTTGTTTTATTTATATTTGGTATCTTTTGGAATATTAAAAGTAGCAGGCTAATAAGGAAGAAAGTTTAGTTAGGTACGCGAGGTAAGGGTACTCATCTTCCATTTTTCTAGTAATTTAAAATCGATTTTTCATGACTTGCTGTGATTGCGGGGGTTCCAAATTTTCATCTCTACATTCTCGTTATAGTGAGGTACAAAAAAGTTTAATTTCACGTATTGCATAGAGTACCTAAAGTTATTAGAACAAATATACAGAGTGAACCTTAAACAAGTATTTTAACTGCTGGGATTATTCGCAGTGTACACAGTGTAAGTCATTTTTCAAATTTACAAATATTTAAGGGATATTTTTTAATTCGTTCAATCGCACACGTATTTTGAAAATCGCTATCATCACGAAAACTAATTAAAATTGTGTGCGCTAACTGTGTGTGTGTGTTTAAAAATATTTATACAAAGTGTTCCAATTTATAGATATACAAGCCTTTAAGATAATAATTTATTTTTAGTAAACTCTAAAAAGACACACATTTGGAAAATATAACTTCCTCAAATTCTTACTGTGCTACGATTTCTGCCGATTTGTTATTTTCACGGACGGTGTTTTCATATTAAATGCTTTAAGAAACTGGACACGCAACTGTAAGAAAGTTTAAAACATGGCAAGTCAGCGGTTCCCAACAAGTGTTGTTATCAAAAAATCACGCAGGTCTATTTAAAATTTGACTCCCCCGTGAACCGCCACTGGATGTAATCGATGACGGGCTCTATTCGCATTATGCGCGGCTGTTAGCTCTTTGGGATGGATTAAATTTCACAGAAAAAGGCTTTCTCTTTGTGACCGCCCGCCATTCACGCGAAAACGGATACAAATAATAAATAGACCGTTGATTTATTTACCTGACACATCCTGAATCAATCCATTAGAAGGCCTGCAGAACAAATTCTGGCCGATATCCTTATCGTTGCGGTAGTAGAATTTATTGGTATGGGCCAAATGGTTCGCCCACGTCTGAGCAAGGTAGCAGAGCTGAAAAGACGCGGTTAGATGTAATGCACAGGAAATTGAGGTTAAATTTAAACTCATAAATCGAGCAATTCATTTCCAAACCTGTCAGCTGTTTTGCTGTACCGAGTGACCATGAAATTAAAAAGTTAAAAAAATAACATGTCTTTTCACTTGTACGCTTATGATACACACGGACACATATCAGCTGGAAACTGACACTTGGCGGATTTCGAGAAGTCAAACCATGCAGACTTGGTCATTTCTTTCTGCTCAAGACACGCAAAGTTAGACACAATGTGCTTACTATTTTGGAACCGGAAGTTAATTTGTGTCCGCCATATGTCAGCTCACATTTTTAGAATTATGTCTGCCTCTATATTTTTTCAATTTATTAGTCTCATTCACCAAAAACTCCCCTTAAACACATGATAAAGTGTGTTCTTTAAAGATCAGGCAATATTTCTGCTTGCTATAAATTCCCTCCCTTTTCCGGAAGTCAACTCATCTACAAAAACACCCACAGTTATCGAGTTGGCGCGATCCATTTACAGCAAAAACAATATACTGTGGCGCTTCCATATATCAGGGGGGCCTGGCGGGAAGCAATTGTCACCGGAACACAAAACGACTTCCGCCTTCAGAACTACGCCGAGAACTGTTGCCAAATACACAAAAGGCGGGGGATATAATAAACAATTTATTACGTTTCAAATGAGGGTCGGTGGAGAATTTATGTTGTCGGGTTAGCGTTGTTTGATTTTAATCGCTGTGTCTGAGAAACTATTTGGATAATTCATCACGAAAATGTTTAGAGGAAAGAGGAAAGTAAATGTAGGGACAAGCGTACATTTGTATAGTTTTAACTGTAGACGCTTACTATATTCTGAGGCAGTGATAGAACGAAGTGGCCTCCCAACTATTCTGATTTAGCATCACAAATTTTCGAAGGACTTAAGATTCTTTCTCGAAAATAAGTTTCCCTATTACATTTCTACAGAAATAAAAAAAATATATATATATAATTTTAAAAATACAGTAATATCAGTAATTATTACTTTAAAAATTGTTCACACTAATATCTGGGAATTAAAACACGCACTTTAGTCTCGGTCCTTTTGCAGTTCGTGGGTTAAAAGTGCTATTTTAGATAATTTAGACATTCAATGGAATAAAATGTCACTTTTAGTCTTCGAGGAACTAAATATAGACCCTGCTTTAGAACTTAAAAGATGCACTTTAGTTCCTTAGGCACTTTGCGGGTTAAAAATACTATTTTAGGCAAAAAGTGCCACTTTTAATTCTCAAGGGAGTACAATTTATAAGAAACATTAAAATATGCACTTTAGTTTTTTGTTTTCATTTTAGTTTAGACTTTAAAAACTACACTTTAGTTCTCAAGACTATATCGTTTTTGTACAATTTAAACGAATATTATAAATGTAACTTAGTGAATATTGCAAAATATTTAAACAAGTACTACTTTAATCTCCCAGTATTGAATCATGCACTTTAGTCCATGATACATAGGCAATTATTTCCTTCTTAAATAAATGTTTTACAAAAATAAGGAAGTATTTTTTTTAGTCTCCTAAGTGGCTATTGAACAAAAAAATACTTTAGTTTAGTTAAGTGCTATTCAAGATTTTTCAAGGAAGGAAAAGGATTATATTGACATTTTGCTGTTGAGTTAAAAGAAGCACTTTAGTCTCTAAGTATATATTATATTTTAATTCCTTTAGTGCACTAATCTGAACTAATGCACTTTAGTCCCTTGGTATTAAATACACTATTCTCAATACACCGCTGATTAAAAGTGAAGTTTGACCTTATTTTCAAGGAATAAAGTGGAAATAAGTTTTAGTTCCTCGGAGACAAAATCTAGACTTAACTTCTGATGCACTTTAGTTTGTTAATAAATAGTATGTTTTGCAAAAGAAGCTAATACTATACATATAGCTTAATTCATTAGAAATATTGATCAGTTGTTAGACAAGATCGGATATTAGACTTTTACCACTTTAGTTCCCAATCATCCATTTCATCATCAGGATTATACAATGCACTTTAGCTCATAGAGTACAATTATCAATTTTTGCTTAAATAAGCACAGTCGCTTACAAAATAAAGAACTAGAGTGCTTTTCAATTTACTTTCGGGATTAAGAAATACACTTTAGTCCTTTGCTGTGTAATACCTGTACTTCGCTATCTATATTTTTGTCCGATTTATACTGTACCTCTGATGACATGGTAAGGGGTGGTGAGGCGTGCCTCTGCCTGTATACGTTGTGCCAGCACAGGCAGTCGGTTATAAAGTCACTGTCTTGCCACGCTGTACGAATTTCGGAGACGTCTAGTACCATGCTCACTGGACGGTTAGTTAAAATCTGGAACAAACGACTGTCGTTATATTTTAAATCGATTACTGGGTACACCCGGTGACTTCTTTGGGGTAATGTACAGGGTGTCAATATAAACATTGACACGACAAATTCTTTGTTGATAAACAATTTAATAGAAATGTAATAATATTATAGTATACAATGTGTTCTACTTAAGAGGGATTTTTCTGTAACTCTGCAACTGTAAAATTTATAAAAAAAAATGGTTTTGATAAAAGTTGCCTGGAATCATGTAATGAAAATATTTTTAGCTTTACAAGGTGTTGCATTTCAAGTGGGCGCTGCGTAACGTTGTTATTTTAAATGGAACATCCTGTATATTATTGCGTTTTTGAATTACTTGGTTAATATTAGGTAGAGTTTATAGAGGGGAGTACTTTGAAGGAGACAAAGACCAATAATGTACAAAATTAATAATAAAGTTGAAAAAAATAAAGTTCGATTATTTTCTGAATAGACCCCGTATGCTGGTAAAGTACTAAACTACTTCCTTTTGGTCTTAAACAGTTTTTGAAAGCTTGAAAAGTAGTTCGGAATACTAATACACTTAAAATATTTCCTTTTGCCGATTTTGCTCGCAGTTTTTCTCAGCACTACGATGGGAGGATGGGAAGTTTGTTATTTCGTGTGTTTCGACATGCGATACGGTTATAGCCGGTTTCATGTTTCGCTCAAGTTCAAATGTTACGGAAAATTTGTCAACGCGAGTATAAAAAAATGTTTTAAGTATGTAAGATATGATATATGTAAATGCAAAATTGTTGGAAGAAAAGTTCGTGTGGACTTACTATAAAGATTTCTTACCTTTTTCTACAATCTTTCCAAGGAAATAGAATTTTTACTTGAAAATTGACCTTCTGTATATTTGACTACGATTTTTATCATAAATGTTAACGTTTTAATAAAACTGTTAGTTTTCAACGTAATCACGATTGGTTTTGTGAAGGAAAATTACTATTCTTCTAGTTTAACTTTGTTGTAACATTGTAACCGACGAATAATATTAAGTACTACGTTGTTAACCTGAATTTTAGGATCGATTATTTAAATTATTATTGGATATACATGTTATAGAACATGAAAGGGGCGAAAATTAAAATCTTACTTTTTCGTTGTCTAAAAATGTGTGCAATATGTACACATATTTGAATTAAAAATACATTTATAATAATTACACTAAACTATTTAATTTTTCAACCCTTAATGATAAAAATATAAAATTAATAGTTTCTTTGACCTTAAAATATTTTTATAGTGCATATAGTGTTAGATAGAAATCTTTTCAATAGTCCCTTTGTTAATTTTTATCCTACAATAATAGAAAAAAACCAAAATATTTTGTGAAAAAAAATTAACTTTTGTACTCTTGAATATTTTTCGTCTTTTTTATTTTTTGTTATTTTCAAAAATGTAATTTTTTTAATTACATTTTTTTTTTCAATTAAAACGTAATATTTTCAAAAGTATGCATTCTAAACCGCTTAAACTTTTATAATATATTGTATAACCTTTAACCTGATTACCTTTAATTTTAAGTCTCGTGAAAAATTCATCAGTTTTTGTACTGATTTTTTTTTTCGAAAAAGCGAATTAACAGTTTTATTTTGATCATAACTCTGTTAATTTTTATGCTAATGACTTAAAGTCAAGTTCATTTTAAAGATTTTTTAAAGTACTTTAAAAAATGTTCTGTGCATCTTTCTTGAAAAATATAATTTTTTTGTTATTTAACGTTAAATGCTTCCAATTTAGTTTCTGGCGGACATGAGATTATCTTCAACCAGCCTTATCTCAGCACCTACATGAATGAAAAATAACTCAATCTTTTTCTTTTTCTATAAGCTTAATTTTCTTCGTGATGTTTGTTTTTCATAGAACGTCTAATTTCCGAGTTATTCGAGGAAAACTTCTGAAAAACGTCTATTTTTAATAAAAAATGTAAATTTTCAATCAGCAATAACTCGGAAAATATTGACTTATCGAAAAATGTTCATTAGATACTTTTTGCTTAAAATTGATTCCTGGGTTATTTTCAATATTTATTTCATTTTTCGCCCCCTAGAAGGGGTGGCTTCCACCCCCTGGGCAAAAGCGCTCATCGGCACTTAATCGGTTCCATCCGAAAGAATTCGGAAGAGAAAGCCTTGGTTCCTGGACTATTTCTTTTCTAGCTTCTGTTTCACTTAGCTACGCGAATCACGAAACAAAATTTCCATTTAGAACGTTTGCTCTCGGAGTTTGAGCCCCGCAGAGTTTGCGGGATGCGAGAAGGAATATATTAAAAAGTCGGGGCAAGGAAATGCGGGCCAAGTTTTTCTATTATTTTCTGCTTTCGCTCTCGTACATACGATAATAAATAATTCATCACACACTTGCAGGTGCCTTAGTTTAGAAAAAGATGTCCTATATTTTATGATTCAGGCGCTGTTATTCTAACATTGTTGGTGTAGGTTTGAAGGCAGGAAGAAGAAATTGGGCATATACCCAACATTTTGCTCATGTTTTGCATTTATTTAATTCACTGGTTCATTAACTGAAGTAAAAGTCATAGAAACGAGAATAGTTTTGTGTAAGTAAACTATGTCTTTTATCCTCCATTTACAAATATTTTTTTTATCCGAGCGAGTTCACCAAACACCATTTATCAAGTAGATACCAATTTACTAAATCTAGAGGCCCTAACAACGAATATGCTTATCACTACATTAACTTTGGCTGAATTGGGTACGAAGGGGAAGCACTTTCAGTAATACACCCCATTTGTCGGGCAGCTAAAAGGCAATGGAACGTGCGACTTTTCCTCCTTCATCGTCGACCTATATGAGAGTGGATTTTAAATCTAGGCCAAAGCTAAAATATGTGGAAGCCTAAGGGCTTCCTTACGTAGAAAAAAAAGTTATAGATTACTTTTATCGGAATTAAAATTTCGCTTCTATCAATTTTTCATACGAGAAAGAAAGATGGATGATGGTGATACTGCAGTTTCTTGGCGTCCTAATAACTGGAGATGTTAAGAATGTTCTGGATTTGATATTAAACTTAAAAAAAATTGCCGTTGGTAGAACTCTGATAAGGGATTTCATATATCTAATAATATATACCACGCATGTGTGTGCTCTGAAAAACACTAGCTTAAATTCAGGTATATTTAACTTCTAATCATTTCATAAAAGCAAATAAATTGACTTGGCAATGTCAACAACGGCCAATAATAGCGACACATTAGTCACGAAAAGTTTCTCGGGATTGCACTTCAGCCATTATTTTGCACTCTGCGAATTAATAGTGCCATTTTAACTTTATTTGCTGTGAAAGTGAAGTGTTGTTTTAATCCCATTATTTTTATAGCTTCACTGATAATTAAAAGATGCACTTTAGCGAAACATTCGAGATGTGACTTAATCGTTAAAAATTTTGGTCAGTCATTTGTCAAAAGTGCCTTTTGTCCCTCGGGCGGTTGTTTAAACGTCTTCCTCTAGATTAAAAAATGCACTTCAGTTATTAATTTGGTGTATAACATATTACTTTGCACTCTGCGAATTAATAGTGCTGTTTTAACTGTATTTACTGTGAAAGTGAAGTGTCGAACTAAATTAAAAGATGCACTTTAGTGAAACATTCGAGATGTGACTTAATCGTTAGTAATTTTGGTCAGTCATTTGTCAAAAGTGCCTTTTATCCCTCGGGCGGTTGTTTAAACGTCTCCTTCCAGATTAAAAGATGCACTTCAGTTATTAATTTGATGTATAACATATTTACTTTGCACTCTGCGAATTAATAGTGCTGTTTTAACTGTATTTACTGTGAAAGTGAAGTGTCGAACTAAATTAAAAGATGCACTTCAGTTATTAATTTGGTGTATAACATATTACTTTGCACTCTGCGAATTAATAGTGCTGTTTTAACTGTATTTACTGTGAAAGTGAAGTGTCGAACTAAATTAAAAGATGCACTTTAGTGAAACATTCGAGATGTGACTTAATCGTTAGTAATTTTGGTCAGTCATTTGTCAAAAGTGCCTTTTATCCCTCGGGCGGTTGTTTAAACGTCTCCTTCCAGATTAAAAGATGCACTTCAGTTATTAATTTGATGTATAACATATTTACTTTGCACTCTGCGAATTAATAGTGCTGTTTTAACTGTATTTACTGTGAAAGTGAAGTGTCGAACTAAATTAAAAGATGCACTTCAGTTATTAATTTGGTGTATAACATATTACTTTGCACTCTGCGAATTAATAGTGCTGTTTTAACTGTATTTACTGTGAAAGTGAAGTGTCGAACTAAATTAAAAGATGCACTTTAGGAAACATTCGAGATGTGACTTAAGCGTTAGAAATGTTGGTCAGTCATTTGTCAAAAGTGCCTTTTATCACTCGGGCGGTTGTTTAAACGTCTTCCTCGAAATTAAAAGATGCACTTCAGTTATTAATTTGGTGTATAACATATTACTTTGCACTCTGCGAATTAATAGTGCTGTTTTAACTGTATTTCCTGTGAAAGTGAAGTGCCGAACTAAATTAAAAGATGCACTTTAGTGAAACATTCGAGATGAGACTTAATTGTTAGAAATTTTGGTCAGTCATTTGTCAAAAGTGCCTTTTATTCCTCGGACGGCTGTTTAAACGTCTTCCTCTAGATTAAAAAATGCACTTCAGTTATTAATTTGGTGTATAACATATTACTTTGCACTCTACGAATTAATAGTGCTGTTTTAACTGTATTTAGTGTATAAAGTGAAGTGTCGAATTAAATTAAAAGATGCACTTTAGACATGTAGCTTGAATCGTTAGAAATTTTTGTCAGCTATCGGAATAAAGTGCGTTTTATTCCTTTGGTTGTTGAGACTACACCTTCAGGATTAAAACATACATTTTAATCTTTGATACGCAACACATACTAACTTTTTTAAAAATTAATGTGCGCTTATTATGGTAAGGAGTGTAGACTTCTAGAAAGCACTTTGTGGTGAAATATTACAAAACG